TGCAGTGTAGAACATAAATAATAAGTATTATGTAGTATTTATGGACAAAGTATTGAAAGGAAATAGGACTCATTTAAACAAATCTTTATCTGCTTGCTGGATCCTGCATATTTATGGCATGAGCATTTGCAAACCTAGATGATACACGGTATATGTGTGTATAAATATATTATACACATCCAGGTGCTGTTTGGTCAGCATTATAAAGTGTAGCAATTAAAGATATTATATTTCAGTCCGTTCAAAATAAAAGGACAGTAGATATTAAGGATTTGTTTTCTTTTAGAGGGAATCGGAAGTTGTCATTTTTGTTTTTACCTAAACCAGGTTGCCTATCTTTGATTGGATTCCTTTAAAAGAACTGCAAGTCAAATGCAATGGGAAAGTACTTACAAAGGGAAGGTTGGATTTCAATACAGTTAAATCCAGCTGCTCCTGGCAGCTTCTCTCACAGACTGGCAGCTAAATACAACGTCACGTCGTACACCGAGTGTGGGGGAAAATGTTGCTAGATTAATGTATTTTCAGAGACAGTCCAATATGCTGTTCTTTACAAGCTAAACTTTTCTATCAAAATAACTTGTGGATTATTTCACTGAGATATGCAAATCCTATATTCAGCTACAGCTTTGGTGACCCACGAACCCTGGAGAAATTGTCCCTGCAACATGGAAGTATATTTTAATTGTGCTTTTCTATAGGTAAAGTGGAAAACTGAAGTTGGCTTTTATGTGTGTGCAATCTGAGAAATGATGTGAAAAAGCAGCTCATCTCAATGTACATCCTTTTCAGTCCTTTCTTTTGTGTGAAGGCTTTTGTCTTTGTATCTTTGCATTTGTAAATGAAATGTAATAAAGTTAAAATGTTTTCGTCTCTAGCTGTCCAGCTTTTCTTCCTGAGTAGTTTTCCTACTGAAGCTTTTTAGTATTCAAGTAAAAAAAAAAAATTAACACATGGTCTGGTAGCACTTTATAGACCAACAGAACATGTAAATGGTATCATGAGCTTTTATGGGCCCAGCCACAAAAGCTCATGATACCATCTACATGTTTTGTTGGTCTATAAAATGTTACCAGACCATTTGTTGGTTTTTTTTCCCTGTAACAGACTAACTCGGCTACCCCCTGAAGCACCAAAAAAAAAAAAAAAATTAGTAATGCTGACCAGTGACCGTGGAGGCAAATCATTGTGGCTGACTGACATGACACTAAATCAAAAACAAGGAGTCCGGTGGCATTTTTAAGACTAACAAATTTATTAGGGTATTAGAGCATAAACTTTCGTGAGCTACAACTCACTTCCTCAGATGCTGACGAGGAAAAGAAAGAGGGGACGGGGGAAAAAAGGATACAGGGAGTGTCCTTTCCCCTCCTCTCTTTCTCTTCGGCATTTGAGGAAGTGGGTTGTAGCACTCGAATACCCTGATACAGGGCTTGACGAGCATCGGCAAGCGCCACTTGCCAGCCACGCGGTTTGGCACGCTGCGCCTTCGCAGACCACGCTGCGCATGCGGCACCATGCCGGCTTAAAATCTTCTTGCCCCGGGTGAGTAGATTGACTAATTTGTCGAGCCTTGCCCTCATACATTTGTTTGTCTTAAAAGTGCCACCAGACTCCTAGTTTTTGCTGGAACAGCCTAACCCGGCTACCCTCTGAAACCTGTTATGCAAGATAATGCTTTTGTGGGTTGCAAACTGACAGTGATCTAGGTGATGAAATCCCAGCTTCAAGCTGTGCCTTAAACTTTTAGATGATAGGTCTGGAAAGATAATAACGCATCATGTTAATCCTCAACATTTAATTTGCTTGGAGAAGTCCCCAGTTCTGTCAGTGCCAGTAGTAACAGTAGAATCCTGCCGTCTTTTCAGTGGGTCACAACTCAAGCTTCTGACCATGGGTGCTCTTGACTAGCCTGTGGGGCTGTTTGTAAACACGGGGTGTCTAATGCTGGGATCCTGACCGAATTCTGAACTCCATTATCGCTGACTTGGCTGAATTCCCCTGGCAATTGCGTGGTAGGTGTGGTATTCTTCTGCACTTTGTGATCTAACTTTGCTGTTGCTGTGTTACATTGGGGTGAATGTCTTATTAAAGGGGGGTGCATTTCACTAGTGGGAGAAGGGATTTCTACACATCCTTCACAACTCAGCAGCCTGCGAAATAGGTTACAAGGCAAAGATGTCTGAAAAGGTTCTAAACATAGTTACTTGGTGAGCGCCACACATTATATTTCAGTGATCTGTAGATAAAGGTTTCCCCTACTGGCAGTCGCACAAACTCCACCTGGGACCTAAAATAGTTACCGCCACAATTTAGCCGATCATCTCACTGCTGATGCACAGCATAAAACACTCCCTCCGACGGCTGTATTAACTTGGCAGTGCCAACTGCTGGAGTGTCAACAGAAGTAAGTTGTAGTGGAGCGGGGTGGGGATACAGCATCAGTACAAACTGGGTAACTTGGCTTTCTTTCCCAGTATTTCAGAATTCCTGTGTGACCCTGGCCATGTCATTTCACCTGTATGTCCTACTCCATCTAACATGTCTAAGCCCGTGTGCGTAGGTGAGTTGTGGAACATAGTTTAAGGTTTATTAGTGTTATGTAGTCTTAGAGCGTAAGAAGGAGCTGGTTTAGAGTCATGTTTAAGCTATAATTGGACTTGTAAAAAAAAATTCAAGCAATTGGTTCGCTTGCACTTTCAAGATTACATCCATATACTACAAACCGACACCCAACACAGCGAAACCTGCTATCTAAGTTGGTTGTTAGAGCTGCGAGACCGGTGTGACGTGTGAGGAACGGGGCAAGCGTTCTGTTCGTGTTACAGAAGTAATTCAGAGCTAGGATGTGGAGACCAGCTGTTTGTCTCTAGAGACAGCTATTGCTGACCCCTCCCTGGAAGGACATACCCTTTAGTTACATTTTGATTTATTCCGGGTGTCGGAGAGGTAAACAGGTGGAGGTTTAGCGCCAGCCAGAATTCTCAATTCAGGGGCAGCAGCAATCCTGGTCTGATAGTGATGAGATGCAGTTGTGGTGGACCTGTTTTGCATGAGGTGTAGATTACGGTGAGGGCGAATCTGCTCTGTCTGACAGGAGGCAACGACGTGATTTATTCTTTTGTGCCGGCAGCCATCCTGAAGATGTATTTAGTTTTTCAGAGGAAGTTGTGGAATCCACATCTCTCAAACGGTTTAACACCAGCTGGGGACTAAATCTTGGTGAACAGAATGGTTTTTGAAACAAACTTGCACCGTTCCCTGTGGATGGACTTTCCCTTGAGGGATCATTTCTTGAGTTTTTAACTCCTGTCCTTACAATGCCTGTGTTCCTGCCCCATTTGGCATAGGGATTTTTAAAAGTGACTTGAAAGTCTCATCCTTACTTTTGGAACAATTACCCATCTGCCTTTTGTCCTCCACTAGAAAGACAATTTGGTTGGCTCCGTGTTTTCATGGTAAACTTAGAGGGATCAAGGAACCTTGGTGAAATCCCTGCCCCGTTGTTCATTTGGCTAGAACAAGACTTGACAGCACCGTGTTAGGCTCCTTGTACGTGGAGAGGAGGAAGGATAATGTGATTGGTTGCTGCAGTATTCTTGTGGCAAAGTACGTGGAGAGGAGGAAGGATAATGTGTGATTGGTTGCTGTAGTATTCTTGTGGCAAGTCCTGTCCTACAAACAAACTCCCTACCCAACGCTTGCTGGGCTATGTGCAACTCTGTAAAATGTCTGTCGCTTTCTGGATGTGATACCATTCGGATGCAGGCTGAGAGACCACATCTGGGTTCTCACCGATTTGAAGCTCTTGTGCTTGGTTACACAGTGACAGTCATCAGTGGCTAAAACCGCCCGTTCTCGCCGGGTACCTTTTCAGGGAATGGCTATATTAAGAGTGCCCAGAATAGCACAGGGAGAAGCAGGGTGTGATGTGTCCGGTCTGGAAATACTGAGCCCGTGACCTGCAGCGATCACAGACTGCAGTTCTGCAAACCAGACGCATACGGAAGCAGTGATCGATTGAAGAACCACACTCCCTGCAGTGCTAGGGCCACCGTCAAAGGTACTGAGATAAACAGGGGGGTGAACCTCCCGTGGGCTGTTTTTTCCTGTGGAATTCAGTCTCTGCCGTAATCCCCTGCTTCAGAGAGAGAAAAGCCTTTCAAGGGAGTGTTCCCGCAGGGCATGGGGGTGTTCCCACAGAAATGCTCTTAGTGAATTCAGTCTGCCGCCTGATCAATTATCCTGAGAAGAAAAGCTGTACCCTGCAGTACTGGGTTCCTCGGCAGTCTGCAAAGTGTACTTCTGGCTCAAGGTTACCTACCGCTGTAAATAGCGCCAGCTCCCCCATGTGGTGGAGTGGAAGAACGTGGTAGGTACAATCGAAGATGTGAAGAGCACAGGAGATGTCGCTAAAGCCCTGGGTGAGAGGGGCCCTCTTAATATTCTGGGGCTGCCTGGAGCTAAACCCTCCAGCACAATTAAGCAGGACTTTCAAAGACACAGAACACAAGCCAGACCTGAACCCCTTTCTCCTCTGAGAGCTGCTCAGCTGCTGTACATTTGCATCGGAGAAGGGATGGGCTTGAGTTATTTTTACAAACCCAGCACCGTGCAGGGGCACCAGCGGCCAGCCTCTGCACTAGGGAAACAGCCAGAGACTCCGGCCGCAGGAACATCCCCAGCAGGGGTCTCTGGACAGCCAGACCCTCCTCCAGTTTTAACTGGACTTGGCCTTTTTGCTCCTGCTGTCTCTCCACCTCAGTTCTCCTCCCCAGGGCCCATCTCTTCCCACCTACCTCAACCCAGGATTAAAAGCTGTCTTGTGTGTTGAGACTGGAAGCTCTTGGGGGTAGGGAATGTCTGGTTTTTGCAATGCACAGCTTTCTTGGGGAGTCCTGAAGTCCTCTGACACAGCACATCCAACTGCTTGTCACCTATTTCAGCCCCTCAGGAAAGGAGATTTAAACATGTCAGTGCTCAAGGAAAAAGTACTCAAGTCTATTTGAGTGTCATTTATTATCCACATTATTCCAGAACAGAGGTGCCCTCTTAAAGTGCCTTTTGGGTTCCATGAGTGACTCAAACATTGTGCCCATCTCTACAGTGGGAAAACTGACACTTTCTGGCCTGCACCTGTCATGGGGCTTGCCCTAACAGGCGGTGAAGTGACAAGACCTGTAAGGCATCAGAAACACTAAGCAGGGGACGGTTACTGCCAGTTCTACCCACAGCAGGTAGGATCTCTGCACATCTGTTTCCATGCAGGACGGAAGACTGGTGTTAACAGCACAGTCAGCGTTTTGGCTTCTATTCACACTTCATTGATGAATCTCCTTCCGGCACCTAGAATGTCTGCAGTTCCAATAGACTGTCGCAGTTTAAAGAGATTTGCTATTGGAGGAAATATGCCAGCGAGGCAGTGACACTCGCTGCTGTCCGGAGTGCGGTGGTACGTTACATAGTTCTTCCCGCGGTATATCAGAGCTGCAGTACTGGAGAGCGGGGTTCTTTTTTGAAGCACGTTTTGATGGACAAACTTTTAAGCCATGGGCTGGGTCAGCTGAGTTTGAAACACCTTGTAATCTTCCGGAACGGTATCTGGAGAGGATGAAAGTGAAGCCAGTGTAGATTAGAAGCGGGATTTGCAACTGAGAGTAAACCGGTAACACCTGTCGGGTGTGCGGACTGGAATCGAACAAAACCTAAGTTATGGGAGTGGTCCAAAGAGCTGGGAATCCCAAGAAAAGCCAAGTATGATTCAAAGGGATTGGGCTTGCTAGTGGCATTCAAAAGTAATAGTGTTTTGTCTGAAACCCCAAATGTCGTAGCCAAAAGTAGGTGAAGTGGCTACTCTCTGCCTCCTGCAATGAAATTGAACTTGGCTTCCTATCTCAGAGTGCTGCGGGAGAATTGCTGCCAGATTCCACCCCAGAGCTGGGTGTGTTTTAGTAATGCACCAGGCTTCCCCTTCTAGCCAACCTGTCTCATTAACATGGGATCCTGTAAATGCTGCTTCAGCTCAGTTATGCAAAGTAGAGATTCATTTCCCTGTACATCGCTGAAGTGCAGCTGTCCCTTGGGGGGGGGGGGGGGGAGGCTGTCATTTGGGAGGTAGCTGCCACAAGTCGGATGGGACGGTCACAGTTAGATTTTGCCTTCCCAGCCCGCTGGCCGAGGTATTTTTAGGATAAAATACACATTGTGTTGCTTACTCTCTGCGTGGGTGACAAGGCTGTTGTGTTCCTGGCACGACTGACAGCAACATTCCTGTGGATGGGAGGGGAAGGAGGCTAGTCCCCCCCCTTCTCCGCCAGGCGTCAGCACAGGGAACAACTCACCATTGCAGCGGTACCGCAGATTGGACCAGATAATGTTCTCCTGGGAGAAGCAGAAGACTCCCAGACGACCCCCCCGCATGGTTGTATCAAGGACGACTCCGGAGTCTGCTACCATTTCAGGGCCTTCGTAGAAGCGAGCTCTGGAAGGAGATGTCCCTTAACATTCAATAGGGCTAGGCCTGTACTCTTAGTTCCTTTCCCAAAGGAGGAGGGTGTATTCCCCCTTCGGCCCCCTGAGCGTGCTGAGTAAGGGTTCAGCGTTTGACTTGGAGCAGAGGTTAGCAGTTGGGTCCTCATTTCTTAAAGGGTGCTTAGTGCAGGTTTGGGGTTGGCTCGCTCTCTCCTTGCAAAAGGAACAGAGCAAGCCCTGCTCCTTACCTGATGTATCCAACTTGAGGCCGGTGCTGGAGGAACCAACGATACGAGGTCTTGTCCTTCCAGCCAGAATTCCTGGGGTCTTTCCACAGCAGCTTGACCTGGTCGGTCGTGTCTCCCGTGTGCCAAAGGGAATTGCGGAGATATTCTCCTGGCCCTGTTCTAGATTTCACTGCCTGAGGGAAGAGAGAGGGCCGTAGTCATGTGGCAGGAACACTACAAGAAGCTAGGGCTACATTCCTGGCATGGACAGACCTCCTGGTCCACAAAGAGCAGCTCTGGCCAGAGCACAACAGAGGCTAGAGCATCCTCCCCCTTCCCCTGCATCACGTGCTTGATCTAAAGACAACTGATGCCCCCCATGCCCATGGTAAGAGACCAGAACCCTGCTCTCGTCCTGCTATTTGAACCATCTCTGGTGTTCTGAGGTGGACTTACCTTCAGCTGAATCCCAGGCTCTGCCACTGCTCGGAAGGGGTTTGCCTGCCAGTACGTCTGCTCCGTCTGCTTCCACATCACCACGTAGAAACTGGAGCTGTCCTGGTAGCCGAAGATAAAGCCGGCGTAGTCGTCGTCCGTGGCAGTGTTCACGTGAAAGGTGCCCTCGAAATCCACCCCGTTGAACGCAGTGTAACCTCAACCGGTAGGAAGGAGGAGAAATCACCACTCACGAGCCAACAGAAAACAGCCCCGTCCCCCCTACAGCCTCAGCCATCCCGTGGGGATCCAAACCTTCCCTGCCTGGGATTAATCCAGAGACCCATATAAACCCGCTCCTGTGCGCCTCCAGCATTAGGGCCAAGTAGATCAAAACCAGCCTCCTCCCCAAGGGTCTCGTTTGGATAACATGAAAGTTGGACTGAAATGACTCCCGTTTGGGGGCTTGCTAAGAAAAATCCCTGACATGACTGCAGCCAAATAACTTATGACAAATATAAGCAGGGGCGGCCTGAGACGAGCTGCCGGCAACTGGCGCCCCAGCGGAATGCGCGATCGGCGCCCTGAGATCAAAACCAGCCTCCTCCCCAAGGGTCTCGTTTGGATAACATGAAAGTTGGACTGAAATGACTCCCGTTTGGGGGCTTGCTAAGAAAAATCCCTGACATGACTGCAGCCAAATAACTTATGACAAATATAAGCAGGGGCGGCCTGAGACGAGCTGCCGGCAACTGGCGCCCCAGCGGAATGCGCGATCGGCGCCCTGGGCAACTGCCAAGTCTGCCTATATGCACAGGCCACCCCTGAATATAAGACAAGAATTTCTTTCCTCCAAAAGGAGGGAAGTTGAACAAACCACTACAACTATCATTTTTATGGGCTGCGTCATGTGCCAAAAGTTCTTTTAGATTAAGCATATTTAAGTTTAGACTTTAGGAAAATATAATTTTGCACATAATAAGCCAAACCCTTTATTATTTGTGCATCTAAAACTCTAGGGATGAAATCTAGACTCCACATAGATCAGTGGGCATTTTGACCTTGATAGTAATGGTGTCAGGAATTCATTCTTGTTGCCTACATCCAGGGGCGGCCCGAGGCAGGCTGCCGGCACCCCAGGCGGAATGCGTGATTGGCGCCCCTACCTCCACAGCCCTCAATGGCGTGGCGTCATCATTGGGCGCCCTGTTTAACACGGCGCCCTAGGCAACTGCCAAGTCTGCCTATATGCACAGGCCACCCCTGAATATAAGACAAGAATTTCTTTCCTCCAAAAGGAGGGAAGTTGAACAAACCACTACAACTATCTATCGCTAAAAGACGCTGATTATTGTGCTGGAAAGAGGAATTGCACCTATTCATAATGGCCTGCTAGGCCAGAGAGCAGAGTGTCTTACCCACAGCCAGGCCGGGATCACTGTTCATGGTCTGGACAATTTCCATGCCCTGCAAGATGCAAACGTCACCTCGTTACCCTCTGGAGTTGAAAACTATCGTCGAGTGGACTTGGCAAAGCAGTGCAAACATGCTTCCCTCTCCAGGGAGGAGAGAGCAAAATCCTCCTCAGTTCGTTCCCCTCGTGTTTGGGAAACCTGGTGCTGATTCCAAATGTTCTGTTGTCCCCACTCAAGAGGGCAGGAGCGAGGCGAGAGTCAGGTACCCGCTGCCGAGAAACTCCGGCAGGTTGGTGAAGTGCCAGCCATAGAGCGCTCCAGCCGTGTCTCGCTAACCTGACCCATCTCGCCTGACCTTAATGGCTCTCTCTACTGACCACACAACTGGGCAATGGGTGAGAACCAGGCTCCAGCTTTGAAGGTCCTTCCCCTCCCACTCCACCAGCCCACAGGAAAACTTTGGGTTTTGCCACTCTAAGTGGGTCGATGAAGTCTCCCTGGTCTGGCACCTTTGGGACTTTTCATCTTAGAAAAGAGGAGACTGAGGGGGGATATGATAGAGGTCTATTTAATCATGAGTGGTGTGGAGAGGGCGAATAAAGAAAAGTTATTTATTAGTTCCCATAATAGAAGAACTAGAGGACACCAAATGAAATGAATGGGTAGCAGGTTTAAAACTAATAAAAGAAAGTTCTTCTTCACACAGCATGTAGCCAACCTGTGGAACTCCTTGCCAGAGGAGGCTGTGAAGGCTAGGACTATAATAGAGCTTAAAGAGAAGCTAGATAATTTCCTGGAGGTTAGGTCCATAAAAGGCTATTAGCCAGAGGATAGAAATGGTGTCCCTGGCCTCTGTTTGTCAGAGGCTGGAAAGAGATGGCAGGAGACAAATCGCTTGATCATTGTCTTCGGTCCACCCTCTCGGGGGCACCTGGTGCTGGCCGCTGTCAGCAGACAGGCTACTGGACTAGATGGACCTTTGGTCTGACCCAGTACGGTCGTTCTTATGTACAGGTTGGACCTCCCTGGTCCGGCAGCTTTGGGATTTTTCTGGACTAGGGGAGGTCATTTCTGGCCCCCCTGTTGATCTCTCCTCTGCCCTTCTGCCTCACCGGGCTTCCAGCTCCCCCTTCCTCCCAGCAGCACGGCTGCTTCTCAACTCCTGGCTTCCTGCATTGGACTCTTACTCTCCCCCTGCATTGGGCTGGGCTTCTGACACTCTCTCTCACTCTCACTCTCTCTGATCCTGCCAGACCTCAGATGTTGCTGGACTAGAGAGTCCCAGTTTATGGACGTTCAGCCTATAGCTGCCTCACTCGCTGAGTGCTAGTGTCCCTTCGTGCTAAATTTGGAGCCACCTCCTACCTGATTGAGGACAATCCAGTTAGGGTCGATTTGTGCATCGCCCTCAGGATCCAACACGACTGTCTGGAAAGCCCTGAAGTCCGTGAGAGTCACCTCTGCGTTCTCTGGGCACACGTCGATTCTGTCAATCACCCGGTCCTGGTCAAAGTCATCTTCACAGACATCCCCCACTCCGTCGCCTGGGGATGGGAGTTACAAGGGGCACTAAGTCTCCTTTTTCCAACGGCACCATCTCAGCACTCGGTGCTACCCCCCGACAACCATCTCCACCACCTTGTGATAACGGGGCCTACCAGCTGGGAGCTCGCCTGGGAAAGATTGTGTCAGTCACCTAGAACAAGCTGTGCTGAGAGGAAAAAGGGAGTCGGACCCGAATTAGTGCAGACACAAAAGCCTCCTGGTACAACTCAAGGACTCTGTTAAGATCGTGCCTGGTAAACAATAGGGATGTAAAAATCCCATTGAATAAACTTAATGTTTTATCAGTTAAGCTAATTAAACAGGGGTGGGCACATCTGGGGCTCACTGCAGATGGGCAACTCCCGCCAGGTTGGGGTGCCCCCATCCATGGCTGGCCCCGTAGGGCGGAAGCAGCCCTCTGCCTGTGGCAGGCAAGGGTCTATTCCAGCCCCCACCGGTTAACTGTAACCGGTAAGGCTCACCCTCATCGGTTAAGGGAGAGGCTAACCCGTTAACCATTAGCATCCCTAGGCAGCAAGAGCAGGGGGAAATCGAAACAAAATCGGAATCCATATGGGTGGGTCAGAAATGGGACCTTATTGGTGGGCAACATAATGGGCAGGCTGCCCCAGCCATCACTCTGAGGTGGGGGTCCTTAAAGGACTGGTGGGCTGGGGATGAAAGCTACACCTACTGACCGACTGAAAGAAGGGGAAGGAGTCAGCTTCCCCTGCCACCCCCAATCTCTGGGGATTCTGGACCTTCACCCTCCGCAACTCCAGCCAACTCCTCTTTCCCGCCAAGACACTGTATTGCTTATTGTTGCTACCATCGGAGAGGTGGCAAACTGCCCGGCGAGGGGGCGGGTCCTCCGGAAAACTCTCGCCAGGGAACAAGGGACGACGTGAGCATAAGAGCCTGATTCAATATTTTCCTTTCAAATGTGTTCGCCCGTCTCCCTTCTGTGTCCTTAATAAACGGTTAAGGATTTGAACCGGTGTTTGCGCCGTGGAGCTAACCAGGCTGAGGTCTCTCGCGAGCAAACCCTGGACCCTGTTTAGCCCGGGGTAGTGACTGGGTTTGGCTCACTCCTTTGGCCCATGCATTCCATCTACATTTAATACAGACTCCATCCCAAGTGTCCATGCCCAGCTGGCGTTCTCTGGAGACAGGACCACAGGAGCCCCCGTGTGGGGCTGGTTCCCCCTCCCAGTCGCAGATGGGGATGGGAGGAGAGTCTCACTCCCCTTGGGATTGCTCTAGCTTGAGAGCGCTGTGCCCCCAAGCAATGCCCAGCTCCAGCCCTGCCTCTGAGAGGAGGAAGTCACGTCTCCTAAACGTTCTTTAAACCAGCTAGCACGTGCCAGGGGCAGGTCACGCAGAGCTAGTGTGATGCTTGTCCCCCTTACGGTCTGTATCCTCCTGGCCGGGGTTGGGGATGAGCCGGCAGTTGTCGGGTCTTTGATCAGGAACTTTGATCGGGAACCCCGTCGTTGTCGTCGTCGTCATCGCATTCGTCTCCAATCCCGTCGTGGTCCGTGTCCTGCTGGGAGCTGTTCGGCACCGAGGGGCAGTTATCCCGGGAGTCCTGGTGGCCATCCCCGTCTCTGGCAGAGAGAACGTCAGAAAAGCCTATCTCAGAATATCCGGCAAGACCACAACCGGGGCCCGTGAACTCTGCCCCGCACGCAACAGCAAGAAACCCCCAACAAGTGTGTGTTTGACAACACCACAACAGCCTAGAGCAGGGGTGGCTCTTCTCCCCCAAAAATGTGGCTGGAGAAGCTGCTCCTGCGCCCTGCCCCCATGGCCCCCTGGCTCCCCCCCACAATCCCCAGCTCCCCTGTGCTCACTGGGGCAGTGATTCAAAATGGCGCCCAAGATGGTGGCCATTGATGGGACTAATATGGCCAAAAAACCAAAACCAAGCTTGTTTCTTAAAGGGGCAGCTTTTTTTTTTTTTTTTTTTTTGGTTTGTTCTATAATTCTGGTGGATTTTTTCGACTGCTGTTTCAGCTCTCTCTGTGAAATGGATTGGCCACCCCTGGCCTAGAGCCTGCCAGAGAGCAGGAAAAGTGGCAGCTGGTGGCTTCACCGGCCATAGAACCAAACGGGTGGCCTAAGCGATGGTGAGTTTTAAATTCCCTCTAGCTGGCCGTGTCTCCATAGCTGCTTCCAGACCCAGCGGTTACTGGTTCCCCAAATGCTCCTGCTCCTGGATTCTGTGTGGCCTAAGCCAGACTCGTTGCACCTAGTTCTCACCGGTCTTGGTTGGTGTCACATACATCCCCCACGAGGTCGTGGTCAGTGTCTTTCTGGTAAAACAGAACATTAACACTCAGCTTCCGCCTGCCACAGGGGGAAGACAATCGAAACCCACGAAAGAACTGAGACGCGGTGTGGGCCTGAAAGAATCTGCCTCCCAATTTGCCCTATTTAGAGGTGGTGCGCGCCCCACAGCGAAAGCAATGTCTCCTGCAGCGCTCCTTGCGAAATGGCGTTTTGCCACCACTCCTAGGATGCAAAGCAGCCTACTCGGGCCCATCACGTGCCAGCCGTTGAGAGCTCCCCGGGCTGCGTTGCTGTAGCAGAGACCGAGCTATTCGCAACAACCATCTTGTCACGCACGTTACCGGCCAGGCAGCCCAAGGCTGGGCAGCCGCCCTGCCTCCAGGCCCGCGGGGAAGAGACGGAAGGTTGACTTGCCTGGTCTGGGTTACTGAGGCTCCCACGCCGTCCCCGTCGCTGTCTTTCTGATCGGGGTTGGGAATCCGTTTACAGTTGTCCACGGTGTTTTTGATCTCTGTAAGCCACAAGCACGGGACCCTTCGAACCAGCACTGCCACAGGGCACGTGCAGCAACCGTGGCTAAGTTAGAACAGGAAGCTGGGGCTGCCTCCGTCGCCATTTCTCCTGCCTGCCACCTCTGTGTGTGTTTCGTTTATTTATAGGCCCTGGCGCTGCAGGCGATTTTTTGGGAATGAATTTGAAGATTAGTTTGAGCCTTGTAACGGGTCGGGGCAAAAGCACACACTGTAAACATGAGTGAGTTAACTCACCACTGGGTCACCTTTGGCCAGGTCTGCACTAGACCCAGAAGGTTGGGTGAAGGTGTGCAACTCCAGGTATGTAAAAGACGTAGCTGGAGTCAGCTTATCTTAAACTGAGCTTGGCGCCACAGCAGAAGGCTGCGGGGAGCGAACGCTCTCATTGGCTTCCCTTACTGCTTGCGACTGTGAGGAGTAATGGTGCCGACTGGCGCTGCCCTCAGCATTCCATTTAGCAGGTCTTAACTAGACCTGTTAAATAGAGCGCCAGAAGATGGATCTCTGGCGCAGCAAGTGGAGACGTGGCTTTTCTAACTAACCTGGGGGAAGGACCCCGAACATTTGGATCAAGTAAACAGCCGGAAGGGAGCCTCAGGCCAACAGAGAACATTGAATTGCTGAGTTTTTGCACTAGAGGGGTGAAGACCGTTCAGAGGCCCTTTGCGATTATCAAAATTGCCGTTCGCAGGTGTCTCCCAGCCTGGGGGAGAGGCTGCAGAAGCTGCGGTGAGTTTCCTGCAACTTCTGGGAGCCGGGGTGAATTCGGGAGCTGTGGGGAGCTCTTCATGGGGGGCGGGGAGCTGGGGCGCCCAGTATTCGTGAATTTCGCAATGCGCGGTGGTGTCAGGAACACATCCACCGTGAATGGCGAGGGCTTTCCGTACTCTCTTGAGTTTTGGCCGGCAATACCCGACGTTGTCCACAGAGGGCAGCTGTGCCTACCGAAGCAGACCCACAGCTGTTGGCTGCACTCACCAAACTGGGCTTTTGTCTACACTTGGTTTCTCCCCCTTTGCAGCTGTAAGGGTTGGAAATTCCAAGCAATGATCATTAATCCCACAGTTCCGCCCATGATCCCCGCCCCCCCACTAGGACACAGGATACCACCACCCCACCCCCTGTGACCCAGGTGGGAGCTGAAGCTTTCCTGTGTCCTCTAAATATCCCGCTGGTATTGGGGGGTGGGGGACCAGGGAGGAAGGGGGGGGTAAACTGTGTAAGCACTATTAGAAAATCCGCAGGGACTATTCGCTCCTAGGCTGTGGCTCCGCGTGCTGGCACTTGGCGTTGGCTCTCCTCGTTGACAGCTGCTTCCACAACTGTCCAGGCTTCCTGCTACAAAGGAGCCCGCAGGCCACGTGAAGCACCCGGAAACGGAGCCAGCCAGCTTCCCGGCCTCGGAGCCAGGAGCCACCCTGGGTTGCAGGTCTAGAGGACCAACTGGCTGGGGCCCACCTTTACCCTGCACGGCCCCTGGGCTGTCCCGGGACCCTGCGGGGGGGGGAGTTTCTACAAGATGGTTCACGGCAATGGGGACGTTTGCAAACACCTGCCAGGGAGAGGATCCCGTGGAAATGTACTCCAGCATCTCGGCCGGGTTGTTATTCCTAGACCCAGCTGGCAGGCCTGGGATGGGAACTGTCCTCAAATCTCCGCTCCTCATGGAGCGACAGAGCTGCAAACAGCGCCGGGGTAACTGGCTGCAGAGGGTTTAGACCAGGGGTGGGAAATCGCAGGTCCGGGGGGCGGATGCGGCCCCCGGCTTGCCTGGATCCGGCCCCCGAGGCTAAGCATTGGGGAGCCTGTGCTGGTACTCCAGCCTCCCTGCCCCACACCCGTGGGGCTGGAGCACACACAATCTATCAGCCTGGGCCCTCCTTGGCTCTGGTGAGCAAGGGGAATGTGGGGGGTGTCTTCCTCCTCAGTTGGGGGCTTCTCACTTGTGTGCAGCCCCCAAATGATTTTTTTTCTGTGGGTCAGCGGCCCCCGGCCCAAAAAAGGTGTCCCACCCCTACTTTAAACCAAGGGGGCCAGTGTTTTCCCAAACGCCTCTCAAGCCGAATTTCTGTGCTAGCCTTGGCTTATTTACTGTGTGCTAGGTGTTAGACCTGTGAGACGGAGGCAGAGGTCTGAGATGGGACAGAACCAAATGTAATCAGCAACCTCTGAGAGGTAACGAACTAGCACGACGGTGGGGCAGGGGAGAAAAGGGCCAGCTGCTTGGGGAACAGCCTGTAAAGGAATTTCATCTCTCCCAGGCCCGAGGCGCTGGTGGCGTCTGGCGTGGGAGATGTGGGCTGGGGTAAATGCCCAGCATCTGTCGGTGACAGAGAGCCAGGCAAACCTTTTCCAGGACCTGCTGCTTCCTTAGCTCCCTGGGTGGGCCCTCACCAGCCTGGGGCAGGCAGTGCCCTCAACGGGCCTGAATCCACTGAGCTGAGGCCCAGCGGTTTCATTTCTCCAGGGAAGCAGCTGCAGCTCTGATCTGAGTTCTAGAGCCAGCGTGAAGACCCCGTGTGCAGCGTCAGTCAGAAAAGCAAAGAGACTGTTAGGAGTCATTAAAAAAGGGATCGAGAATAAGCCAGAATGTCTGATTGCCTCTCTCTAAAACCACAGTGCGCCCACAGCTTGAATCCTGCCCACAGCTAGATTGGCACTGGAAAAGGTTCAGAGAAGGGCAACACAGATGATGAGGGGTTCGGAACGGATGCCCGATGAAGAGAGATTAAAAAGACTTGGACTTTTCATCTTAGAAAAGAGGAGACCAACGGGGGCTAGGGTAGAGGTCTTATACAATCATGACTGGTGTGGAAAAAGTGAACCAGGAAAAGTTATCGACTTATTCCCCCAATATAAGAACTAGGGGTCACCAAATGAAATGAACAGGCAGTAGGCTTAAAACAAACAAAAGGAAGTTTTTCTTCACTCAGTGCAGTCAACCTGTGGAACTCCTCGCCAGAGGATGCAGTGAAGGCTAGAACGTTAACAGGGTTCCAAAAAGAGCTAGATCGATTCATGGAGGTTAGGTCCATCAATGGCTATTTGCCAGGATGGGTAGGAATGGTGTCCCGAGCCTCTCTTTATCTGGAGGTGGGTGACGGGAGGGATCATGTGAGGATTACCTGCTGTGTTCCCTCCCTCTGGGGCCCCTGGCATTGGCCACTGTCGGCAGACCGGACACTGGGCTGGATCTGACCCAGTCTGGCCATTCTTATGTGGCATCTGGAGCTGTAAAGGCTCTTGGCGTCTGTCCCTGGTGATGCTGAATTGGTACCCAAGGTCACTGGGATGGGAAGTGCGTTAGCCAATCAGAAATGAGCCCTTCCTGGGGAGCTGTCTCCATATCTGGTTTCTGCCCAATGCAACATCTGTGCTGGATACTCGGCCTGTGAAGGGGACAGCTGGGCCAGCCCGAGGAAGGGCCCATCTCGCGTGGCTGTGGTACCGGTTCCCCCGCCAGCTCTTTGGGGTCCCGGCCCTGTCCCCCAGTTCTTACTGTCTCCGTCGATGTCATCGTCACAGACGTCCCCTTTCCCGTCGCCGTCGCTGTCCCGCTGGTCGTTGTTCTGCGTGCTCCGGCAGTTGTCACAGACATCGCCGAAGTTGTCCTTGTCCGCGTTGCGCTGGTCTGTGTTGCGCACAAAGACGCAGTTGTCCTGCGGGGAAGAGGGGTGCGGGGAGGGGAGGGAACCACGATGAAGCTGCGCCCAGCCGTGGGGAAGGCACAGAAAGGGGTCCCAGGGGATGACCAACTCTGAACTAGGACTCAGGATAATGTCCTCATTCAAGGCAGAGTCCCAATGCCCGGGAGTGGGGTGTTTAAAACTAATAAGTGAAAGTTCTTCACACAGTGCATAGTCAACCTGTGGAACTCCTTGCCAGAGGAGGCTGTGAAGGCTAGAACTAGAACAAGTTAAAGAGAAAACAGGACAATGTAGCACTTTGAAGACTAACAAGATGGTTTATTAGGTGATGAAACCATCTTGTTAGTCTTTAAAGTGCTACATCGTCCTGTTTTTTGTTTCAGCTACACCAGACTAACACGGCTCCATTTCTGTCAGTTTAAAGAGAGGCTAGATAAATTCATGGAGGTTAGGTCCATAAAAGGCTATTAGCCAGGGGGTAGGAACGGTTGATCGCTTGATCGTTGTCTTCGGTCCACCCCCTCCGGGGCACCTGGTGCTGGCCACTGTCGGCAGACAGGCTACTGGGCTAGATGGACCTTTGGTCTGACCCAGTACAGCCGTTCTTATGTTTTTATGTTTTCAGCTGGGACCAGCATTTGCCCAGGACCAGATGCGGAAAAGCTGGGAGCTGTTTGCCCGGGGCCGTCCCTTCCACTCCCTCAGAGAGGCTTGATTTCATCCAGTCATGAAGTTTCTCCCCCCTGGCTCCACCCCAGAAAGCCCCCTTTGATTGAGGTACTGTGGGGGCTGCCCAAATTGTGCCCACGAGAGGCACAGCCCGATTTAGAGCCAGCCTCCTCCTCAGTATCCTGGTGCAGCAGCTACAGGTACCTAAAGCATGTGGGCGGAGACAGAGCACTGCATGCTGGGATTTGTAGTTTCCCTGCCCTCCTCCTCATCCAGTAGCTGTAAGTAGGTTGCTCTGTGGGTACAGGCTGGCAGGGTTTGGGGGCGGGGCCAGACAGCAGAGAGTCCAAACCTCAGCATTTAATATCCCATCCCCGTCAGCGTCGTCGTCGCAGGCGTCACCGATGCCGTCCCTGTCCGCGTCCTCCTGGCCAGAGTTGGGGACGGTCACGCAGTTATCCTGCAAGAGCAGCAGCAGTGAGGTGCCCTGGGGCCCATCCCTTCCTCCCCGCACCCCAAGCCTGTCCTTGGAGTTAGGGGGCTCCCGAGCCAGCCAGAGGGGCTGCTGGGTGGGACAAGCCTGCATGGCAGAGGGGAGCCCGGTTGGACGGGCGGAGGAAG